ATGATGCAGCTGCTGCCGCATCTGATGACGCCCTGAACATGGAGCGGATTCTCAATGCCTCCTTTATACCTGGCGCATTCGCGTAGAACCGGTCCGCCGTGGTTACGTCGTGACACATAAACCTGGCGAGAATCGACCGGCTTTCTGGATCTTGGTGATGCTTGATATTGTCAGCCAGGGCAGTGCGCAGGATTGTGAAGGTGACGGCTGTTTCTAGCCCAGCATCAGCCCATGCCCTCTTCAAGTGAGCGTTCAGGTTCTTGGAGGCCCGATTCCCCCTTGTGAAAAGGAAGAATTCATTCTGAGGACCCAGCAATGCCTCTTTAATCCCCATCCACCGCATGACCCAGCTAAACTCCTCTACTGTAAGCGCCAGCTGTGCTTCGCCATATGTCTTGGCCGTCTTGTGATCCTGCACATGGATGATGTAGCCCTCAGCAGTTCCCCTTATGGCTGCCTCTAAGACCTCACTGTTTTTCATGTTTGCGTACACGCCCGTACGGTGGCCATACAGGAGGCTCCAATGGAGGGTGAGATAGCCATAGAGAAGCTTCTGGGTGGTTGAGGTCGGCGTGCCGGCCATCAGGTCGAGGAGCTCCGGGATGCGCTTCTCAGCGGCCGCCATGGCGGCGAGAAGCTCCGCCTGGCTCGGCAGACGATCCAGTTTGTTCCTCTTCACCTTAAACTGATGTAGAGTGACTGCCTTATTCAAGTGTTTCATGTTGGCTTTCACCTCTCTCATTATGTGGGTCATATCAGACTGGGTGAGCTTGCACCCCCGGGGCTTTGACTCAGACATGTACCCCATGAACTGGTGCACATTCTTCAGGAAGAACTCTGATGTTGTGACTGCCCGGCCCGGCTTTACAATATACTCGCTCCAGCCACGGATCATCTTCATGTTTCTTAGGAACAGCCAGTCTGACAGGCGGTTAACACCATGGGCCATGTATACTATGAAGTTCTTTATCCGGCTGATCTTCGACACAACATTGTCTTTCTGTTTTACTGTCGGAGCGACACCCAAACAGTGATCCAAGTATGTCTGAAGGTACGCCTCCATGCTTCTAGGCAACGTGATTTCACGCATGGTATTCCCCCGTCCACACCCAGTGGACCAGTAATTTGAGGGAGAGGGCAAGTCATTAGCCAGCTTAGAGGCACGGGTCTTCCGGCATACAGGGGTCTCGCTACCGGAGGCTACTGCAAACATGACAGTTTCCACCGGGGTCTTCACAGGGGTCTCGCTACCGGAGGCTACTGCAAACATGACAGTTTCCACCGGGGTCTTCACAGGGGTCTCGCTACCGGAGGCTACTGCAAACATGACAGTTTCCACCGGGGTCTTCACAGGGGTCTCGCTACCGGAGGCTACTGCAAACATGACAGTTTCCACCGGGGTCTTCACAGGGGTCTCGCTACCGGAGGCTACTGCAAACATGACAGTTTCCACCGGGGTCTTCACAGGGGTCTCGCTACCGGAGGCTACTGCAAACATGACAGTCTTCACCGGGGTCTTCACAGGGGTCTCGCTACTGGAGGCTACTGCAAACATGACAGTCTTCACCGGGCTCTTCTCAGGGGTCTCGCTACCGGAGGAAACTGGTAATATGACAGTCTTCACTGGGCTCTTCACAGGGTTCTTGACCGGTCTCTTTCCACCGGAGGCTACTGCAAGCATGACAGTCTTCATTGGGCTCTTCACAGGGTTCTTGACCGGTCTCTTCCCACCGGAGGCTACTGCAAGCATGACAGTCTTCACCGGGCTCCTCACAGGGGTCTCGCTACCGGAGGTTACTGGGGACTGCATGACAGTCTTCACCGGGCTCTTCACAGGGGTATTGCTGCCTGAGGCTACTGTGTTTATGCCGGAGGTATTTGGGATTGCCAGGCCCTTAAATCGTATACATTCGTCCTCTTCCTCAAGAACAGCAGCACTCTGCTTCCTGGGTTTTAGCTCCTTTTTCAGCCTGGAGCGCAGGGTCTTCACCTCATCATTGAGGGCATCCTTCTGAGCCCTCAATGCCACATTTTCCAGCATCACCTGCCTGCAGTCCTCGTTGTCACACTCGGTATGTGGGGAGAAGGGTGGAGGGTGCCCGGGGTATTCCTCCTCATTGTCTATATCCAATGATGTAGCCATTCCAATGATGGGGTTAGTCTCACGGAGGTCATGGAGCAACTGCAGTGCCACACTATGCTTCAGCCTTGCCATGACCTGATGTGCCTTATGTCGGGACAACTCAGGGTGGTCATGTTTTACATGACGGTCCAGTCTCTTCCCAGCGTACGAACACCCAGCGATGGGACAGGGTTTGGTCCGAACATTTATCCTTCCACTGGCTATTTTCAGGAGGATTCCCCTCTCCTCCAAGTTCCGCACTGCATGCTTGTGCTTAAGGTGTTTGTTCAATGCCAGATAGAAGAGTCTGCACACCGGGCATTCAGATGACATCCTTCCTGAAACACACATAATGATTTTGATCAAAATTATGTTATAGTTCTCCGTTTATATGCGTTAGCGTGAGCGGTGGTTGCGACACTGGGTCCGATGCATCAATTCATGGTGCATGGACGAAGGGAAGTATTGGGTTACCACCGGGTCAGATGGTCCCACTTCCGCACCAACGCGGGGCTGGTGATGGCAACATTGGGTCCGATGCATCAATACATGGTGCCCCGACCATGAGAGGGTTTGGGGTACCCCGGAACCAGGCACCACCCCAGCAGGAAACGGGTTGTATGGTCAAAGGAGGAAAGAGTGATAGAACCGGGGTAAAGCAAAGAAAGTGTCCGACAATAGTGACTTGTGAGGCGGCCAGAGAGTCTGTCATATCTCGGTCCTATCCTCCAGGCAACGCTGTGGCCAAAACTGGGCTAAAAACTAAAAAAACTAAAAAATATTTCATCCAGGGAAATTTGGGTGAAAATGAAAAAAAAGTACCCCAAAATAGTCCTTCATTAGCCAGCAGCAGTCCCCTGTCGACTCATGTGACATTCCTCCAGGGTTACATAGAACCAGGGTGTGGGCTCCGAGCCATCTCCGAGACATCTCTAGTCCGTGTTGATAATGGGGGAAATGTACCCCAAAATAGTCCTTCATTAGCCAGCAGCAGTCCCCTGTCGACTCATGTGACATTCCTCCAGGGTTACATAGAACCAGGGTGTGGGCTCCAAGCCATCTCCGAGACATCTCTAGTCCGTGTTGATAATGGGGGAAATGTACCCCAAAATAGTCCTTCATTAGCCAGCAGCAGTCCCCTGTCGACTCATGTGACATTCCTCCAGGGTTACATAGAACCAGGGTGTGGGCTCCGAGCCATCTCCGAGACATCTCTAGTCCGTGTTGATAATGGGGGAAATGTACCCCAAAATAGTGCATCATGACTCAGCAATCATCACACTCAACTTTGGTGAGAACCGGGCAAAGGGGTCAAAATCCGTCAATGTGGGGGGGTGAAACGGCTGTACGCGAGCCCTGGGGGGGGCACCCGGGACCGGGCAGTGCCCCCGGCAGAAGGAACCGGGTCAAACGGGCCAAAACAGGAAAAAAAATAAAAATAAAAAGAACCAGGCAAAAGGGGGGAAAATGGGAAAAAAGTGTCCGAAAATAGTGCCTCATGACCCCGCAGGAGTCCCCCGCGGACTCCCCTGACATTCCTCCATGGTCGAAATCATCCAACTCAACTTTGGTGAGAACCGGGAAAAGGGGTCAAAATGTAAAAATTGTACCCCAAAATAGTGCCTCATGACCCCGCAGGAGTCCCCCGCGGACTCCCCTGACATTCCTCCATGGTCGAAATCATCCAACTCAACTTTGGTGATAACCGGGCAAAGGGGTCAAAATGTAAAAATTATACCCCAAAATAGTGCCTCAAAAG